ACACCTTAACCTCATCCCACATCAATACTCCAATTCCTAATGGTCTTGGATGTCCTTCTGCCTCTCGCCCACTTTGGAAGTGCTCATAGATCTGCTGCTGACCTTGAAGGTAATCCTCATCTATTCCTGATTGCTCAGAACCACCACGTATTACCTTTTTCAGTGTTTTGGAATGAGGAAGCTGCAAAATTTTTAACTTGTGCAATGTTTCATATGCTGAAGGGCTTCGATTGTAAACTGCCAGTGCTACATATCAGTAAATATAAGAGGAAAAATAGATGTAATCACAATTTAAATAATATAGCATGGTATAACCAAAAGCAAGAATTATTACCTTTTCCTGGGAATAGACCATTAGCAAAAATATCAGAGCTTACAAGGACAAGCATCTGAGTTTTCTGAGATTGAGATTAAAGGCCTATGAAAGTCACTATTTTTGTGACTGCCACAAAGCCTCTATATTGTAAATAAGTCTGAATGTCATGTGTATTGTACAAACTAGACAGTTATGGACAAATCTTGTACTTACCCACTCTGATAGTTGCTATGGACCATCGATTACCATTTTTCCCAGTAACTAAAAAAAATTAAAGAAAAATAACAAGACTGTACGAGTGCCTGCAGTCATATAAGGTCAGGAAATTTAATTTGAGTCAACAAAAAAGTCAGTACAAGAGATACCATTCCAAGCCATGCCCAGTTAACATTTTCTTATAACTACGGATATATCAGACAGACACGTGGACAGAAACTTAATAATAATTATTGTTTGTTTGCTGATCACATTTTGACCAGTACATCAAATTAATTATAAGAATACAGGTACACAATAAAATGACCTTTTGCTCACTGATTTGAGAATGTTGTATTCAGTTAGTCAGCTAAAGGGCACGCAAATGTCATTAACGTACGTACGTACCATTACTCCGCTGATCTCTGAAAAAACTTTCCCTGTCTTTTTTCCACACTTCTTTGAGGCAATCACCTGCCTCCTGCCCTTTGCTGCTTGAGAACTGGTTGCCTTTATTGTAAATTTTGGCAAGTTCTTTCCTTCGAACATCTGAATCCTCGATGCTTTTAACCAACTTGCACAATTCTTCAGGCTGGTCCTGGGGAAGTTCGACTTTTGTCCGCTTGTACAACTTTTTAACATGCTTTTCCAAGCGGTGTCGCTGCAGCCTGGAATTGGCGTAGCGTGCACTTTTACTTTTTGGGGAAAGGAACTTCACAGGATAGTTGCTTGAGGGCTTCTGTCTTTCGTATCGTTTTGACGAACCCGATTCGCGTTTCTTTTGCAAGGCTTTGCTTACATAACGACTTGCAATCAGACATTCATCGCACATTCTGTGATGCCTGGAGTCCGATTCATCCCCTTTGGATTTCACGTTTTTAGCAGGAATGTGCCAAATTTTGCATGTTTTGGAATGAACAGTGGTTACTGGCCCATTGAGCAAAGTACATGTTGATCAGTTAAATACTTCTTCGCTAGCTCAGAAATTTCTTCTGGAAGGGCTTTCGATTCTGGCAAATTGAATGTTCCCCTTGCGATAATACGATGCTCGTAAATTGGACTATCCAGCCGCCACTCGCTGTCCGGAAAAAAGATGAGGCGAACAGCCTGAAACGGACCTGTACTAGAATCGAACATTAAATGTTTCGAATGAAAAATTAACAGGTCGAACCTTCGCTGATGAGCCACGGGTCCTTCTTCCACAAGAGATTCGGGAAAGGGCGACAAATCTGACACAAGAGATCGCACCTCGCAAAAAAAATCCCGCACTGGTTAAAGCGCGACTCCATTCCTACAGCCGTTCGTCGCTTTCACAACTTTCCTTCAAGGAAGATTCTTGCAATTCTTCCTGCAGCAATTTTCGTTCCTTTCTGAAGTTCAAGCTTCGTCGCAAGGCCTCTTTTACTGCAGACGAAGAAATGCTTTTCACGCAGCCTTCTGAACCTTCAGCTGCCGAAGACGAAGACTCTGCCGATTCGTCAACTTCTAAACGCGGTTCTTTAGCCTTTGCAGTACCTTCTATATCATCAGTCGACCTTTTCATTTTATTTCAGCCCCTTTTAGGTATATTTCATTTGACCATAATTAAACTATTCAACAAAACTGATCGAACGAGCCAAGATTCCGCGAAATATGTGCAAACGTATGCCGCAACTTCGCGCGTGAAAAGTGTTTAATCAACGAAAGGTATTGTGGGAAAACTAGCTGGAGTAAAGGGAAAATGGAATACTGGAATTTGACCGAAGAAGAACGGAATTACATATAGAAACGCAACGCATTCGCGATGGACCAAAATTAACCGCCATTTTTTTTCACCTTGATCGATGCTGACGTCATCGGCAACAGTTATTTTTCGCGGGAAAAGCTTATCTAAAAATAAACTCATTTGTAAAAACGCCGTTGCACGAATTTATGGCAGTTGCACGCTCCGGGTTATGGGCTCCTGGCTAGAGCTATAAATTCGTAAACATTATTTCATATTTTAACATTGATAAGATGATTTTGCAGTTTTAAAAAAACCGGCCATTAACTTGGCTATGCTTTTAATCCCAGACCACAGTCTCGGTTTTCTTCGTTTCCTAAGTTAGGCGCTCTAGCAAACAAGCTCGGCTGTGGGCAGTAAAGGGGGGTTTATTGTTAGTGTTTTAGTAAAACGGGGAGGAGACATAAATGAGTTTATTTGGAACCAAATAAAAAATTTTAGGTCTCCCCTTCCAATTTCTTCAATGCATGGATTTGAGCGTGGGGTCGATTGCGGCTTCAACGGCTTAGAGGCTTTCGAATGTGAACTTTGAATTATCTTACAATGGTTTACGATCGCATGAGAATCACAAGACGAAAAGTAAAATTACTTTTGGGTAATAATCACGAGCTCCTATGATAAGGCCACTCGCAGTAAATTTACTTAGNGATCGCATGAGAATCACAAGACGAAAAGTAAAATTACTTTTGGGTAATAATCACGAGCTCCTATGATAAGGCCACTCGCAGTAAATTTACTTAGCCTCGATCTTATTATCTCGCGGAGACCCTTTATAAGAGGGTGTAACCTTTCGTTAATCCTCTCGGTCTGAAAGCTGACATCAAGCCGAATCTTCGATAGCTGACCCGCTTATCCTATGAACAAGCAATCGACCTGCCTCCGCCCCAATCTTCCACCTATTTTACTTGCTTTAGGTATTTCTTGTAGTTTAGCTGCCTTTTTCTTCTGGCCCTCACCTTTGCTAGACCTATAAATTCGGAAACATTATTTCATATTTTAACATCGATAAGATGATTTTGCAGTTTTGAATAAAACCGGCCATTAACTTGGCCATGTTTTTAATCCCAGACCACAGTCTCGGTTTTCTTTGTTTCCTAAGTTAGGCGCTCTAGCAAACAAAGCTCGGCTGTTGGCAGTAAAGGGGTGTTTTTTTTAGTTTTTTATTAAACCGGGGAGGAGACATAAATATATTATAGTTCGTTTTCGTAAGTTTCAAAGTCAACTGATTGTCTTCAACGTTAAATTTCCCAATATACAATGGCTTCAAGTTCTTTAATATTCTTGCCAGAAATAAACAGATTAGTATCGACGGCAAACAGTATGAAAGATAACAAATTCGAGAATGTACATATGTATGAATATCATTTGTAGATAGCAGGCTTTATTATGCTTTAACTTTGAGCGCTCTTCAGTTTGGATATTTTAAACGCAGGAATTCGAGTGGTCTTTAAAAAGTTTTCCTTTGAAAATTATATGTTCGGACTGACGAGCCGATGTTCAGAATCTGAGAATTGCGTGACTTTTTGTGTTAGGTACTGAATATGCACAGTCATGGTTGATTGTGTAATATCTGTGATTATTGAGTCACTGGCCTATGTTCTCTTTCATAAAATTTCGTCAGGTTTGTGTACTTAAGAAATATATATGTACTTTCAAGCTTTGTTTGTGTCAGTCACCGAACACAATTGTTCGTAAGATGGAGTCAATTCTCTCCACGATTTACAATTTCTTAGGCCTCGGAAATATTCTCCTTTTGTTGCTTCAACTGTTCATTTTACATTACCTGGTGATCCTCTACGAGTTCAGAAACATGCCTCCAGGTCCACGCCTTCTACTCTTCCCATGTTAGGAAACGTCCTTTCTCTCGACCTCAACGTAACAAAACTTAAAGATGCTTTTCAAAGGTCAGTATCTAATACATGTATCTTTTGCGTTTTTCTCGTTGTATGACTTCTAATAATCCAGTATACCTCTTATATCCAGCGTCCTGTAACATGTGTAGGAAAACCGCTTTCCACAACGTCTTAACTGAGCCATTTCGAAGCGGCCACCAGTTCTGTTTCGAGTTGAGATAGCTATTTAAAACTCACCCTCGCTTCAGTTTGAGTAGTTGACAAGGTTAATTAATTTGAACTCAATTTGTTCGTATATCGTCGCGACAATTCGCCGGAAAAATGTGCTGTTTATCCTTTTCCCCAGGCTTTCGGACCTACTATAGAGGGCGCTTGACAAATGAACATTTCGCAATTCAAGAACGCCAAAGTAAACATTATCGGGAAATTCAGATAGGAATTAAAATGACTCTTTTTAGACATTGGTATTAAAGTCGCATAACTTAAGCGCTGTATAAAGCATAAACGTTTGAAACTTATCTTAAGAAAGTATTGTATAACCATTACTTGAAATAAAAAATAAGCGGATCCTTCCCCAAAACCCTTTTGTTATTATTGCTGCTGTGGTTCTTTCTACTAAGTAAACGGAAGAGTAACAAGTAATCAACATAAGAGAGATTCAGACATCTTTATGCTTTAAGCGGACGTTGCGTAGGAAAAAATACATTTGGACGGTAGTTAATTTGTCTGCATATACAAATGATGTTCTGAAAGAATTGCTGAAGATTTTAATGTTTCTTTTCAGTCTAAAAAGAAACTACGGTCGCATATTCTCGATGAAACTTGGAAGCTACAAGTTCGTTATGGCTTCAACTCCTGATGCTGTTAAAGAGGTGCTCATAAAGAAGTCTGCTGATTATGCTGGGAGACAACAAGAACACGCTACATTGGAAGGATCCCTTGGTAGGTTCTAAGAATTTGCGCGAAGCTATTCTGAATTATTTCGTGTCGCAACACTCAGTACGCCTAGCATTCTTTACCTCTACACTTAATAATAGCTAAATTTCTCATTCGTTTTGCACGATTAATCTTCATTTACCCAATCAATATGAATAACATGTTTAATACAGTGTAACCTCTACTTTGGTACACCTGCAAAATATGGTCCCGGAAAAATGTTCATATAATCTTTGTATTTGTTACCTCTGTTGAAGGTACACCTCTATTCAGGGGACACTTTAGCACTCAATAAGTGACTGACAAGTTTAAGTTTTCACTAGTCACAAAAATCGTCGTACTACACTTGTGAGAATTCAAAACATAACATTGCAAGGATATGTTAATCATGAGGTTTTTGTACATTTTCAATCTGTTTGAAATAATGCTTGCAGTAGATCCCGAAGCAGAATAAAAGAAAATGTTTTATTTGCTGGTTAATTATTAACAACCCTCCATTCAGCGGACAACTCTATTCAGGGGACCGCTGCCTTAGTCCGGCGGGTGTCCTGAATATAGGTTCCACTGTACGACCTTCTGTTTGGTCGTCACAAACGTTACCTGTTGCGTGTGTTGTGTGATCACCCTAGAAAAAGTTGTTTTGGGGATACAGGTATTTTTATGGCTGACCTTTGAGAAGGTCAAGAGGTGATATCATTATGAAAATAGCAGATGGTAAATAGTTAGTTCTATCAATTGAAATTACATTTTGTAGTAAATGGAAGGTACGCATTTTGTAATTGGGATTGTAGTACATGTATTTTGTAATAATCTTTGGTCTGTGCAACAATTTCCGCACGCAAATTGTCATAATTCTACTTTTACCAATAAAACCTACAAACAAAAGAGATCACGATCACTAGATCACGGAGGGCCGTGGGTTCAAATCCCATCTGGGACTCGGATTTTTTTTCCGAGTCCTCCTCAAATTAATATCATATTGTTGTTGTTTCATCTTTAATATACTCACTTTGGAGGTTGGTTGGCCGCATCTTTGATATGCTTTAAGGTGACAGCGCGATGCTGTTAGTGAGTTCTTCACTTCTTGTGTGCCTATCATTACTTGGCTGTGTAGCCGCGTGATGCGGTTCCAGTCGAGACCCACAAATTGGCCCTTGCTCACCATAGAGTCTCCAGTAGCTCAAGTGGTTAGAGCATCCGACTAGATCACGGAGGGTCGTGGGTTCAAATCCCATCTGGGACTCGGATTTTTTTTCCGAGTCCTCCTCAAATTAATATCATGTTGTTGTTGTTTCATCTTTAATATAAACAAAAGAGAACCGGAAAAAGTGTTTTTTGATTAGCGGTAAGGAGGCATCAGTACAATTATAAGTTTCAATGGACTGAGTCCAATTATCGATCACCCGAAGAATAGGAAAAACTCTCAAAGCGTATTCTTTTGCTCAAGGTCTGTTTGCTATTGTCTTTATTTAAACGATTTAGTGTTAGCACAAGCTCTGTTCTACCGAATCGATTGGCGATTGTTTGCTTTAATTAAGTCGAGAAATACAAGGCCTACAGTTGTAGTTCAAATGTCGAACTTTTCATTTACAGAACTTAATTCCTATTGTAGGTCGACCCAAATGATGCAAGTTCGACGGTTGATCCAGACGTTGAACTTAATTAGTCAGACTCAATTCGTTTTCACGATGTACGATAATGTTAAATGGTCTGCTTTGTTTGCCCGTAAAAATAAACGATCGGCACATGAGAGGTTCGACGTTTGAAACGAAGTCGCTCCACAGTCGAAATTCCGATGTGGGCCACTCGATTTTAATTCATGGGTCGAAGCAAAATTGGGTATGTTGGACTTAATTGATTCAAACCTCCATCTCTTCATGTGCTTAATTGAAGGGTTAGGTGCGGTACGTGAAAAGTTCGAAATTTGAGTTGGGCCTAAGTTTTGCATTGCCACGAGTTGGGCAGTTGCACACAATTTGAGCTCCATTGTCATTTGCAGGATGTCTAAGTCATCACAAACATCGCAAGACATGTTTTTTTTTTCCACGCTGACTAAAAACAGCGTCATGATATTTTTTTGTAACCCTGATATTCTGCTTATTTGCTGTTAATTAATGTATTCCAGAAAAAAGCAACCTAGATTTTATTATTCTGCTTTTGAATTTCAGGAGGTAAAGATATTGTCTTTGGTAACTATGGACCAGGCTGGAAGCTTCATCGCAAACTCTTCATCACAGCTCTTCGCCTTTACCTATCGGAAATCCCCCTGATTGAAAGGCGCGTTAATGCGCAAGCCGAAAAATTGGTGCTGTTCATGGAGAAGGAACAAGGACAACCCTTTGATCCTTCAGATTGCTTGATGCGTGCTGTTGCCGATGTCATTTGTGGAATCACTTTTGGAGAAGGTTACGACACAACCAATCCAGATTTGAACAAGCTTTTGAAACTAAACTCAGACATAACAGCAAATGTCGCTGATGCGCAATTGGCCAGAATGCTAGATTTTTTCCCCTTGGCAAAGTACATGTCATTCAAGGCTTACGATAGTTTCCTTGCCCCGTTTCCTCAAATACATGACATTATCCGCAAATTTCTGAAGGAACGGAAGGGGAATTTTGATCCAGCGCAACCTGTACGAGATTTAATCGCAGGTCTCCTTCACGCGAAGCTTGAAGCTGAAGGTGAGAGCAATGAGGATAGAACCGCCCTACTTACTGACGACTATTTCATCAACACGATTGAAGACGTGTTTGCAGCAGGCTATGAAACCACAAGCACCACAATGAAATGGGTGCTAGCATTCTTGGTCAACTATCCACAGTACCCAAAAGCCATTCAGCGACAGTTGGATGAAGTAATTGGTGACCAGACTCCTTCTTTGGAACACCGGTCTCGTCTACCTCTCATCCAAGCGACTGTTATGGAAACCTTGCGAGTTGGAAACGTGGCGCCTCTTGCAGTTCCTCATATGGTGCTTGCTGATACTACCCTTGTGGATACAGAGTTCCTAAAGATACCATAGTCTTTGTTGATACAGAATCTATTCATTTAGATCCCAAATGCTGGGAAGATCCCACAGTATTTAACCCATACCGCCACATGGACAAAGACGGACAGTTGATCACCAACCAAGGTAATTTCTTCCCTTTTGGAGCTGGACGCCGGGTTTGTGCTGGGGAACCTCTGGCGAAGGTTGAGCTGTTTTTGTTCCTGTCGTGGATGCTTCAGAAGTTTACTTTCTTCGCTGAAGAAGATGGTCGTCCTCCAAAGTTGAAGGGAATTTTTAACCTCACTCAGTTTCCAGTTCCCTACAAAATACGCGCCATGAAACGAAAGTGAGGGGAAGTTACTGAAACGACCGTCCGGTCACTGTTTTCTAAAAGAACAAG